TAGAGTGCTAGCTACCTTGAGCAAAAAGAAGCTCAAGGAGAGTGCCTAGGCCCTGAGTTCAAGTCCCAGGACCAAAGGAAGGAGGAGAAATTAAAAAAAAAAAAAAGACCCTACCTGAAAATATCTGAAGTTAAAAAGGGCTAAGGACATGGACCAAGTAGTACAGAGCCTAGCAAGCACAGGCCGAGATAAAAATCTTAGTACCAAGAATGAATGGCAATATGTAATTTACTGGCTTTTATTATATTCACAGTTATATATCCACCTCCACAATCTATTCTGGAACATTTCAACGCCCCAAAAAGAAATCCCTATCATATCACTGCTTATTCCCCACTTACTCTAGTTCCAGGTCTGCTTATCTCTTGAGATCTCATTCTAATAAATGAACCCATAGGACACACTGCTTTCTGTGCCTAGTTTCTCTCACTAATCACAGCAGTTTCAAGGTCCATCCAGGCTGCACTGTCTACTAATCCTGAATAATATTTCTCTATACTAAGTTTGGGGCATTTTTTAAACATAACTATAACCATTCTAGAAACATTATTTCATGATCAGCATTTTTCATGTCATAAATGCTTTGTGACATATGAAATAAAGCACAGTATCTCACATCAAATGGCTGCGTTGTGATTTAGTCACTTTAATATTGTCTGACATTTTAATTATTTTCAATTGTAAATGAACCTTTGAGGGGGGGGCCTGAATTCAAGGACTAGTCACTGTACCTTATTTTTTCTTCTCAGGGCTAGTGCTCCACTCCTTTAAGCCTAAGTGCCACCTCCAGCTTTTTGATGATTAATGATGGAGGTAACCGTTTTATGGACCTTCCTGCCCAAGCTGGCTTTGAATCAGGTTCCTCAGCTCTCAGCCTCCTGAGTAGCTAGGATCACAGGCATGAGCCCCAGCACACAGCACACAGACTTGCTAAGGTGTCCAAGCTTGCCTCAAATTCACAAATCTCCTTTCTCAGCTTTCTCAGTGCTAGGATTTCAGGCATGGGCCACCGCACCAGTTATAAACTTTGAGGTTTTTTGGGGCTAGTACTGGGGCTTGAATTCAGAGCCTCAAGCTTTCACTTGTCTTCTTTGCTCCTAGCTGATAATCTACCACTTGAGCGTACAGCGTCTGTCCGGGACTAGAGACAGCCAGCAAAAATTAAATATAACAGGTAGAAAGAACCCTCGGGGCTGGGAAGGTGGCTCAGTGGTAAAGCGCTTGCCTTGCATGCCAGAGGCCCTGGGTTCGATTCCTCAGTACCACATGAGCAAAAAGCAAAAAGCCGGAAGTGGCGCTGTGGCTCAAGTGGTAGAGCGCCAGTCTTGAGCTGAGGGACAGCGCCCAGGCCCAGAGTTCAGGCCCCACGACCAGACCAAAAAAAAAAAGAAAGAAAGAAAGAAAGAAGACCCCTGCACAGCATACATACACCCTCAGAAGCAATTAGACATGTCAGGTTCCATTAAAACATTGACTACCACTGCCTGCTGCTTCACTGCTGCTGTATATAAAAATGTAAACAATTTCTAAATCCTAAAGATTTAAACATCCTAAAATACCTTCAGGATTGTTTGTTCCCACACAGTAAAACCCTTCAGAATCTGATCTAAAAATAAAATTATGTGTCAAGTGTTCTTCAAAAATACTATGTATACTGATTGGAATGTGATGCCAATTAACACATTTTGTAAGTAACTTGCCAATGAAACTTCGGATAGCCCAAGCCAAAATCAACAACAAAAAAACAACACCCTCTTAACATTTTCCTTAAATGAGAAATTCTGCAAGTATTTTTAGAAGGCAAACAGATCTGAAGTTAACTAAAATCATGAACTCATTAAGAGTAGCTTCTTGTGGTAACACCTGCCCATATTCCAGTTACCTAGGAGAGATAGGAGGATCTCAGTTCAAGGCCAGCCTGGGCAAAAGTCATCAAGATCCAATCTAAAAAATTAAAATTAAAAAACAAAACAAAACCAAGCTAGGTTATAGTAGCCCATGCCTATAATCCCAGCTACTCAGGAAGTACATGTAGGAGGATCATAGTTCCAAGCCTGCCCAGGTAAAAGCTCCAGGCTCTACCTGAAGCTAAAAGGAGAAAGAGCTGGGCATGTGGCTCAAGTAACAGAACCAAGCTTGAGGCCCAGAGTTCAGACTCCCTCATTGCTGTCTCACATCTGTTTTTAAAATGAAATTACTGAAAGCTAGCTGGGCACTAGGGGTTCATGTCTGCAATACTAGCTACTCAGGAAGCTGAGATCTGAGGATCATAGTTCAAAGCCAGGCCAGGCAGGAAAGTCTGTTGAGACTCTCATCTCCAATTAAACACTAAAAAAGCCACTATAAATGAGGCTGTGGCTCAAGTATAGAAAACTAGCCTTCGGCACAAAGGCTCAGGGACAGCACCCAGGCCCTGAACTCAAACCCCAGGACTAGGACAGGAAAAAAAAAAAAATACACAGAAAGCTATACACGGAATTCTAGAGAAAAGAGAATATAACAAAATGGTTCAAATGCTAAAAATTAAAGGTGAAAACTTTAACATGTAATCAACTCCTGGGGTCAGAATAGTACCAGCCATTACTACTATGAAGATTACAGACAAGATAGTTTAGCTCTATACCAAAAGAACCAACTGGACCATGGAAACAAATTATCTAATATCACACTAGTATCTAGTATCACACACAGTTAAATGAGGAATTATAATACACATGCATGCCAAAAACAAAGATCTATACAATTTTTTTTTTAAAAGAAACAAATTTCAACTAATTCAGTCAAGGTGAGCAAGTTTCCAGCTAATTCTTATTCTGAAAAAAAAATGACTTCCACAACCTCCCCTACTGAAAGTCAAAGCTTGATTCTGTGTTTCATAAGGCTCCCTCCTCACTGTCACATCAGTTCACTGCCTTTCAAAGACAATATTTAAAATAGTCTTAGGCAAGTCAACCTTCAAGCACGCTGTATGGCTAGCAAACTCCACCCAAGATCAGGATTATGTATGATCTAGTATGTTCCTAACACACAAACAAAAGTAGTGCCTCTGTAACATTAGTTTCTATTTTTAGATAATAAGCTACTGTTTTATCTGAAATGTAAGTGTAGGACCATACATTTACTAATACACTTCTTGAAATAGTAATTTGAAGTTACTAATTATATTTTCTAACTCAAAAATAAACCTAGTGCTTCTGCAAAAGTCAAATTTAACTTCTAAAAAGTATCAAATGGTTACTGAATCTTCAGAGCAAACAAGTAGAGTATTTTAAGCTAAAGGCAGATAGGTTTAGAGCACTTTATACAATAGCATTCTTCAGTTTTAAGACACTTTTTGTCCTAAACAACCCAGTTTAAAATGCTTCTGGTTTTTTGGTTTTTTGGCGGTCATGGGTTTTGAACTTGGGGCCTAAGTATTGTCCCTGAGCTTTTAGCTCAAGGCTAGTGCTCTACCACAGTGAGCCACAAGCACTGCTTCCTGCTTGTTTTGGTGTTTTTGGTTGTTTTTTTTTTTTCTGCTAATCCCTTAAAATATATTCAAATTTATTTCAGTTGGTTTCCTATTTCAAATACATTTAAGTTTTTCCACTACTGACAAGACCTTCACAATCCCACTACAATTTATAATCCAAAACACCACATGCCTAAAAGATAAGCTTTTAAAACAGAAACAGTAACAGGTTTATTTTTCCAAGAATCCAGTGTTCCACTGGGTCAAATGTTTCTGTTGGATTTTAAACAGCTTAGCCCTTGAAGTGATAAGAATGAAAACAAGTCAAAAGAACCTCAGTGTTCTTCAGTGGCATGCAATCTTCGCAGCCCAAAAAGGCTGAGGAACTTCGCGTCGAAGTCCTCCAGCACCAGAGTAGTCGCCGTGGCACACAGGTTCACCGCCAAGGCCATTCCCGAACCCGGTGCGCACAGAGCTGGGGCCCTCTAACAGATCGGGCGCTGGGGGAGTCCTCCAGAGACCCGGGTCACCGTGCGCGCCCACGGACACACGCCTTTCGGCTACCTCGGACACGTCTGTCCATTCCTCGGTGCTGGGGAACACACCCCATCTCGTCGAGTCCTCGGAAAGTTAGAACCGGGAGAGGGTACCAGGCTTGTGGGAAACGTTTCTGGTGAGCAGAGGGCCTGAAGTATGGACCAAGCGCTTCCCAAAGGGACCAGGAGACGCGAACCGAAGCGTTAGCGGGCTCACCCTCGCCCGCCACCCCCGGGCCCCGGGCCCCGAGCGGCCCCCGACCCGCCCGCCCGGCCCCAGCCACCCGTCTCCGGGCCCCGCGGCACGGGGGCGGCGGGGGGCGCCCGCGAGAGCCGGCCCTCCTCGGAACGAACCCGGGCGAGCCCGCCGGCTCCCGCGGTCCTCCAGCCGGCAGCCCCTCGCTCCCCGCCCCCCGACTCCCCGCTGCCCGCCAAGCCCCTCCGGCCTCGGCCTCTCCCGCGGGCCGCGCGCGCCCGCGCATCCCGGGCGGCCAAGGAGGGAGCCGGCGCCACCCCCGGGGGACGCTCGCTCTCCCCGGGCCAGCCGCGGAGCGGGGAGCGGGGAGCGCCGCGCGGCCGGGGCCCCGCGAGGAGACAATGAATGGAGCCGGCGGCCTCGCCCTCTCCCCTCGCCCCGACGCCCCTCGGCGGGCTCCGGCCGGCGCCGCCCGCGCGCGCCGGGGCTGCCCCGCGCGCCGGCCCGCAGCCCACGGGGGCCTCCGCCTGGGTGGCGGGCGTGCTGTCACCGGAGCGGGGAGGCCCGGCGGCGCGGGCCCGGGGCCCGGCGACGGGAGGCCGAGCCCACCCGCCCGGTGAGCCCCGCGCGCGCCGGGCACCGGGGTGGCGCCGGGCCGCTTCCGCGACGCACAAGGAAACCCGAGCCGGGACGTGGGAGCCGGGCTCGCCGGCCATGACACCGGGCCCGGGTCCCCGCCCGCCCGCGGTGACAGCGGCCGGGCCCCGGCCCCCGGGGAAGCCGACCGCCGGCCCCGCCGCCCGGCCCCGCAGCCTACCTGGGGGAGCCGGCCACCCCGCGTCCGGTCGTCCCCCGGCGGCGTCCGGGCCGCTCCTCCCCGCGGCGGGCGAGGGAACCGGGGGCGGTCACATGAAGCGCGTCCCCAGCCCAGGGGACGGGGCCCCGGGAAGGCCCCGCATCGCCGCACTAGCGCCCCGCGCCTCAGGGCACGCGCCCCAAAGCCCGGCCAGCTGGCCCTTGCGGGGCGCCCAGGGACAGCGCGAAGGAGTCTTCACGCCTCACGCTCGCTCCCCTCCGACTCCCGCCATCTAAGATGGCGGCCTCGGCGCCCGCGATGAAGACGCTCTCGGGCGGCCCCGGCTGGCGAGCCCTGCACTCGGCGCTCTTCCTCCCGCCCTGCGGAGCCGCCGGCTCCCCCTCCGCGGCGCGCGAGCTCTCCGGGCCGGCGGTCGGCGCCGCGCTCGGCTCGGGCATCGATTGCTCTTGCCCGGACGCGGGCCCCGCCCTCGGGGGCGTGGCCTCGGGACCCTGCGGCCGCCATTTCGGCGCGAGGTCGGGTCCCGAGGGAGGGGGCGGGGCCCGGGGAGCGCGGGAGCCGGCGCGCGTGCCGCCCGAGCTTTGCCTCGGTGAAAACCTTCCCCGGAGACGGCTGAGCTCCGTCAGCGCGGGGGTGCGCGCGTGCGGACGCGCGCTACGGGGCGCAGGCCCGGGCTCCGGGCTCGCGTGTCACACGCACCCAGTGACGGGCCCCGCGCGGGCCTCCGCGTGTCACACGCACCCAGTGACGGGCCCCGCGCGGGCCTCCGCGTGTCACACGCACCCAGTGACCGAGCCCATGCACCGGGCCTCCGCATGTGCCGTGTGTTCTCCAGCACACAGCCTCAGGCGAGCACCGAGGACAGCGAGAGCACCAAGCCAAGCACCCAACGCTAGGAAGGAGAGGGTGGGAACGGATCCCAAGTGCGGCCGCCAGGACTGGAGGCCATCCCACCAAATGGCCATGCCCCCTGGGGTGGGAACCATCCGTGAGCACAGCCGGGGTGGCCAGGAGGAGAAGGAGTACCTTGAGGTGCAAGGGGCAGGAAGGCCAGAGAGCCCGCGAAGAGCATTCTGTCTGAGCAGAGGAGACAGCACAGCCGGCCGCGGGGTGGCCGGTGGTAGAAGCTGGTGTGACAGCACCGCGGTGAGGCCAGCCAGGTAGAGCGGACAGGCGTGCACGGTGCGACGCCCCCGCCTTGGCCTTTCCATGCCATCCTCTCCCAGTTTAATTTTAGTCACAGATGAGTTGGGCCGGCCTGGGCTGGTGCCTGGGAGAGCCGGCCATGTAAATAAACAATGACTCCACCAGAGGAGGGAGGGAGTGGCCTGCTCTACCATATTGGGTCAGGAAAGCCTCCACGGTCACCAGAGAATGAGTGGGAGTTTTCTGGAGTGGGAGCAGTATGGGCCAAAGCACAGAGGTGTGGTTAGGATGGTATGTTTGGCAAAACAGTTCTTGGGCTTGAGATTGCTAATCGAACCCTCCCTGGACAGAGAAGAAAAGGAGAGATCTGAAGATGTCCAGCCTGGCATCGGTCCCGCTCTAGCCATCACAGGGCGTGAGGGACCCGACACTGGAGTGGCAGGCATTGCTATGGTGTCATATGCAGAAAAGCTAGCGCTGTTAAATATTAAGACGTAGCCAAGCACTGGCGTCTTACTCTTGTCATCCTAGCTACTCTAGTGGCTGAGATCTGAGGATCAAGGTTGGAAGCCAGCTTGGACAGAGAAATCATAAGAGACCCTTCACTCCTCCAGTTAACCAGCCAAGTGCCAGAAGTGGAGGTGTGGATCAAGTGGTAGAGAATTAGCCTTGAGCAAAATAGCTAAGGGAGAGCTTGAGGCCCAGAGTTCGAGCCCCAGTCCTGGCACCAAAACAGAAAGATACAAGTGCTCTTATAAAAAGCTTGGGGCTTATACACTGGGACAATCCCTGGAAGTCAGTTCACAGTACTAACATGATAAAGGCACATGTCTTTTGTCCCAGGAATTCTCCCTTGGAATGTATCCTGCAGGTACACTTGCACCCTCCAAAAAATCTTGTACACCATTGCTTGTGGTCCAAACACCACACAGCGGTAGAAAGATGGAAGTAGAAGCCGGGCGCTGGTGGCTCACGCCTGTAATCCTAGCTACTCAGGAGGCTGAGATCTGAGGCTCGAGGTTCAAAGCCAGCCCGGGCAGGAGAGACCATGAGACTCCTATCTCCAGTAAACCACCAGAAAACCGGAAGTGGCGCTGTAGCTCAAGTGGTAGAACGCTCGCCTTGAGCTGAAGAGCTGAGGGACAACGCCCAGGCCCAGAGTTCAAGCCCCACGACCGACCAAAAAAAAAAAAAGAAAGATGGCAGTAGACTGTGCACTGATACAGAAAGATGTCCAGGAATGACACAAAAATTGGGCTGGGGGTGTGGCTTAAGTGATAGAGCACCTACCTAGCAAGAAACAGACCCTGAGTTCAAATCTAGTACCACAAAAAGAAAAACTATAAGCAGTATGAATAGTGTGCTTCTTTCTGCAAAAAAGGACAACATTTACCTCTAGTTTTGAGTACATCTGGGAAGACACGAAACACAGTCACAGGCTACTTCTTGATCATTTTTAGTCTTTAAATCATGGAGTTGCCCACTCAAAGCTTTAAAGCAAAACTAGCCCGGAGGGCCGGGCGCTGGTGGCTCACGCCTGTAATCTTAGCTACTCAGGAGGCTGAGATCTGAGGATCGCAGTTCAAAACCAGCCCGGGCAGGAGAGACCGTGAGACTCCGATCTCCAATAAACCACCAGAAAACCGGAAGTGGCGCTGTAGCTCAAGTGGTAGAGCGCTCGCCTTGAGCTGAAGAGCTGAGGGACAGCGCCCAGGCCCAGAGTTCAAGCCCCACAGCCGACAAAAAAAAAAAAAACAAAAAACTAGCCCAGAGGGAAATGTAAACCATAAAGGGAGAGGAGGAGACTGGGAGAGGAGGAGACTGGGAGAGGAGGAGACTGGGAGAGGAGGAGACTGGGAGAGGAGGAAAGAGTTGTTTTCCAGTTCCTCCTCTATGCTCCGCCCTCCTCCCCCACAACCCCTGTGGTGTGCCTGGCACACTACCCAGGCCTTCAAAGGCTAGAGCCTGGGCCTGGCCAACTCCGCTGCTCTCCTGCTCCTGAATTGCCAGGCCCTGGGAGGAACCCGGCTCCACTAGGCAGCCCCACTTCCAGACACCCAAGTAGGCCAGAGGAGGCCATGCAGCACCTCACCCCAGGAAGGCTGGGCTCATGACCCTTCACCCTGTTCCTCAGCAGCCCGTGGGAGAGAACACACTTCCTCCCGCCTGTCCACCCCAGCACAGCCAGTACAAGCTCTGGAAACAGGAGGCCAAATCCCAGCTCCCATCATGGGAAGGGCGGGGGGGGGGGGGGGGGGGGGGGGGGGGGGGGGGGGGAAGAACACCTTTCTTCAGCCTTTGATGAGGGGAAATGAACAGGGTAGCAAGCACCTCCCCAGGCCCCAGTCTGCTCCTAGCACCTCTCCCCACACGCCTCCCATCTCTCTCCCCCACGCACTATGCCCTGCAGGGACAAGCCACGAGGTGCCACCGGCCCAGGACCCTCTAAGTGCATCTCCCAGAGGTTCTTGTGCTGGAAACATGCCCCCCCCCCATGCCGCCAACTCTGCAGGTGGTTTAGAAGATGGGGACAAGTGAGAGGCAATCAGGCCACTGGAGGTCCTGCCCTTAGAAGCCATCATGTAGTTTTCAGAGGACCCTGGTGGTTATTTTAAAAAAGCCAGGCACTGGTGGCTCACGCCTGTAATCCTCGCTACTCAGGAGGCTGAGATATGAGGATCACAGTTCAAAGCCAACCCAGGCAGGAAAGTCCACAAGACCCTCATCTCCAATGAATCACCAGAAAACCAGAAGTGGCACTGTGGCTCAACGTGGTAGAGTGCTAGCCTTGAGCAAAAAAAAGCTCAGGAACAGGACCCAAGCCCTGAGTTCAAGCCCCATGAGCAATAAATAAATAAATGTAAGGTCTGCTCCTGGATGGCCAGCAGACTCCACCCTCCTCACAGCAAAGTCTCCACCCAGTACCTGCGTTACCTAGGCAACTGGGACACCTGGAAGAGGTCACATCTGAATTTGATGTGGCCACACCTTTCCCCGCCCATACCCTAGCTAAGGCCTAGCCCAGGCCCAGATGCTCTCTCTCGCTGCTCTTTTCTAGTTCTCCTGCTCTCTGCTCTTTTCTAGCTCTTTTCTCTCTCTTTCCTCTCTCTTTCCCAGCTCTCTCTCTTTCCCAGGCCTTTCCCAGCTACGTGGAGTGCCAACCTTGCCTGGTCCCAGCAGGTCTACTGAATAAACCTACCCCTTACCTGAATACCACATGCGTGCTGGTGCAGTTCTTACTCGGCTACCTCTTTTTAAAAACCTAACAATAAACACCAACAAAACTGCCTTCTGGCTTCCAGTCCGGCCTTGGGACAGGCTGCTGTCAAAGGCTGGGATGCCATGGATGGAGGTGCTCACCAGAGCTGAGCAGAGGCTAGCCATACTCTTGAACCTCCAGAACTGTGAGTTTCTCTCTTTTCTTTGTCAAGTATCCAGCCTCAGGTATTCTGTTACAGCTTCTGAAAACAGACTACATATCAGGTCTAAAAGAAGAAAAACTCTGGCTGGGAAGGTGGCTCAGTGGTAGAGCGCTTGCCTTGCATGCATGAGGCCCTGGGTTTGATTCCTCAGCACCACATAAGCAGGAAGTGGCGCTGTGGCTCAAGTGGTAGAGCGCTAGCCTTGAGCTGAAGAGCTGAGGGACAGCGCTCAGGCCTGGACTTCAGACCCTACAACCAACAGGAAAAAAAAAAACAAAGAAGACAAACTGTAGCCCTTTAAATGCCTCTAATTCTCCCTCTTGGGTCCAAATTCATCCCAAAACGGCGTACACTCCAACTTAATTTCCACTTCCCCTCCTCCACTAAGCCCCGCAGTGTGCCTTCCACCCGGTCATTCCCAGAATGCCTTTCCTTCTCTCTCAGAGCACTCAATGCTCAGGGGGGTTTCCACTTGCTTAAAGACACGCCCCTGCTGTTGAAAT